TGTTTACGTTCTCTTTCAATTGAATATGTCAAAGTATGCTGGAAATCGCATGTTTTTAATGTCTGCTTTGAAAAAAAGAATACCAAATGAGAAATCATTTTTGCAAGATTGACTTGATTTTAGCCCAGCAGAGACAGCAGAGTTTTGTTTTCAATGTCGATTAATTTCACCTGAAAATCCAGTTCTACATTTGACTTTATCTCTTGAAATGAATGGAGAATGGCAGAAACAAAGTATTTCATTAGTCAAATTCTTGAGTATGAACATTTAAAAGCCCATTAAAAGTGCTACATTTAGTGGCGTGAGTTGGAAGTGCGATTGAAAACTGATCAGTCAATTAAACATTTTCTCAAATCCTCAGTAAAGCAAACACATGAAGAAAAATCCTGAAGTAAATTTTTTTAAACCTTTTTTTAAAAAATCTGACCTAATTTTTATAATCGAAATTTGCTTATCATTGTTGGAACTGATTTCACATAATGACCCAAATCTTAGGAAACATGTGTTAATATTTAGCAATCACAGAAAACGGATCAACGTTTTTCAGGCGCATTACCAGTAAAATTGTTTTAAAAATGAACTCATTTTCCTATTGTCCAGCTGAGGTTTGTCAGCGTATTGTAAAAATATAAAAATTGAGAAAGTATTTTTTAGTTATGATTAATGCCACTCCCGATTTGTGCTATACTAAACAAAATACGATTGTCATTTGATATGTTTACGAAGAACCTGGAAAGTTTTTAATCGATGAGCAGTTTTTAATCCTTGTATATTACGATTATAACTGATGTTGCAGGAATAATTTTGGAAACTTAAAAAACTTTAAAAATTTATTTTGAAGACTGATTTGGCCAAGTGTATGACAGTGGAGTCAAGATGTCAAGACATTACAAGGGTGTTCGAGCGTTTATACTAAAGAAAAACCCATTGATTATATTTTCACCCTTGTTTTGTCATTAATTGAAATTGTGTGGACAGATTGCTACTTCAAGCTGCACAGATGCTGAGACTTTCTTTAGAACTCTTTAAACCGTGTATACAAACTTTTTAATAGTCCACAACACTGGGAAGTATTGAATAAGAGGCTCCATTGTGAGTCTTAGCATGGGCAATCTGGAACGTGACAGACTGAGAGAATTGACAGCATTCATCCTTTTTAAAATCACTTGAGCCAAATGATTGAATCTTGGAAAGAAGTTCAGAGCTTGAATCTCACCCCTAAAACAAAAACTGAGATTACAGGTGCCTTTAAATATACAAGTTCCTTCAAGTTTGTCCAATATTTAGATGAAAGTCCTTGCATTTATTGATGGCTTCAGCCAGGCTATTCAGGTAAGAAAGGCAACTGTGATATTGAGGTTGTAAATGTTTAAGTTTCGATCAGTTAACTCAAAATTGTTTAGAAGAAATGAGCTACAAATTTGAAAAAAATAATATAGCTGCAGATACTGTGAAAATCAATACTGAATTTTTAATCTACAGAAAAGTAAAGTAAAAAAGTTTCGCTGCGGAGCAAATTTAACCCCGTTCGTGCCTTTTGAGAGCGGATCCTCTATTTGATCTGGAATAAGTTGAAAAAGCATTGTAATATATCTAAAATAAAAAAAAATAAAATAAAAAAAATAGTTAAGAATAACAATACATAAAATAATAAAAGAACAACACTACAAACTAATGTACCCGTTGCTGATGCTTTTTCTAGAGCATTGTTAAAAATAGTCAAAATCTGTAAGAAGAATCATAATAAAATAACAAAAAACTATTAGTGCAAACAAATATTGTAATTTGATCAGAAATCATAACTATTCTTACCTTGATAGCGACAACTAATTTCCTTTTTAACTATTAGCTAATAATCTACTTAGCAAATTTTTATATAATTAAAGTTTACTAAATTAAAATCATATTTTAACAGTATACTAAGTAATCATGTGGTTGTATTTTCTACTCAGGTGCTCTACCACATGTTTACTAAGTAAACATATGGTAGAGCACCTAAATAGAACTAAAATAATAAAATAACTAAATTTGCTAGGTGATTTTAAATTGAGTTCTTGCCTAGACTGATTTCTTGCATTTTGATTTTCATTCTCAGCTCGCCTAGGCTCATCTCTTTCATTTTGACGACAACTTATTACAGCTCGTTTAACCTGGTTTGTTTTACTTTGAGTAAGTCTAATAGTTTTCTTAAATTATTAGACATTATTAAGCATCAAAGGAGTGTGTAAAAATGATGCCTAAAATAATAAAAATTGAACTTTGAGTTTTCTTGAAACACATTCTTTCAACAATATTTTTTAAACACGTTTTATAATTACACTAACTACAAACTGATTTAATTTATGTGTTTCATCATGACAGTACACTATTTTACGAGCACAAACAACATTCTTGTTCTCAACAAAGCCAAGTTATATTATCACAAATCACAAACAAAGAAACACTTCACATAAAAAAGATTTTTTTACATTTAAACCCATATAAGTTATATGTGTTTATA